TCAGTGGGGATTGACGCTGCTTTGTCAAATAAGATTACCCACAGGACCACAATTGGGCCACAGGCCTGAGTTTGGACATGCCTGGTCTATAGTGCATGGCTAATGCAGAGAGGCCTCATCCAAACTTGTCTCCAACGTTCATAAAATGTTTATTGACCTAACCTGTAAGCAAAACACTCATAAACACTCTTAAAAACTCAAACACTCAACATTTGACAATACGTATGTAGACCTGTAACAATATTCAATAAATCAATAAATTGCATGATAATTAAAATTAGCTCGATAGTTTTCCTGGTCGCGATAAATTCCATTTGCATGCTAGTTTGTTTTCTGCGAGCAGACTGAAATAACTCAAAAATACAAAATACAGCCAAAACAGGACCTAAACCAGGACTGACAATGGGGGACACAGTAGTTGTTCAGGTTATGTTCAGTTATTCAGGCTCTAGTAGTGACTAAACTAGCAAAACTAGCGTTAGCGTGTTTGTCGATGCGGAAGTACCGTTTAATAATAAAATAAACTTATGACGCACCTCCGTGAACACATACTGCTGTTATATAAAGTCTCTGGAAGGTCTCTGGACAAAGAGACGCTGCAGAGCTGCATTATTGGCAAGAACTTTACACTTCCGGCGGTGGTCTTTAAAAATAAAAGTGTGTTTCTCTTTGAAAAGGTGAACCTGCATCATTATCATTGTATTAGATGAAAATGATCTCAGGACAATACTATCGCTTATCACAATAATTTCTGAGACAATTAATCGTCTAGCAAAATTTGTAATCGTGACAGGCCTATACGTATGGACATTTATCAACACTTATGGACCAATACCTGTGTGTTCTATACTTTTTGTGTTTAAACTGTTTCTCTGACGTGTGATGGCGAATTCAACGATTTTGTCAAGTCCTCTGAGATAACTTCTGTTGTGATTTAGGGCTATACAAGAATACATTTAATTGAATAAATGGACCATAGGTGCAATTTTATGAGTGCCATTGAGCAACTTCAACACAGAACAAGTCGTAATGCATTTCTTTGTGTGGCTGCGGCCCGACACTCCTGTACTCATAAATGTTGTACAGTATACTGTATAAGTTTTTTTTCCCCATACCTACTGTAAAGGAGCAAACACTTTCATGATGCAGCACTTTCTTGTCAGTTGCAGCACTTAAAGAACGAAGGCTGAAGATCCTCACACCTGCGGCAGTCCTATTTTGGGGTTTCTTCTGTTCACACTACTGCCTAAAACATGCAGACAAATGTTAGGGTTAGGGTTAGTTTAAAATTATACAAAACACACATGCAACATTGGTACAATATAAATCGCAGGGATGTAAATGCATTAAACATTTTGTTTTGAAAAAATAATGAACTGAGAGACTCATCTGATCAGTAGAATTTTCTGTTGATGAAACAAACACATTATATAACATTACGCAGATGCATTAGCAGGAGATTACAGAACAATATTCACTACAAGCAAACACACCCATACAACCTGCTTTTTCAAATCTATGCACTGCATTTCAATTCATCAAGCTGCTACAGGGCACTAAATAAATATCATCAACCAGGATAATTTTTAAAAATGAAATATGCGTATTATTCACAAAAAGTGTGAATACAAACGGGGGCCGTGGAACAGCTGTTAATGCAGGCTGGGATTCAAGATTCATATAAGCTTGAGCTATCTGTACTAATGAGTGTAACATGTATCTCTTGTCATGAACGATTGGTTTTGTTTGACTAATGCTGAGAGAATGAAAAACCACGTGAAGGCTGAAGATGAAACATCTGATATCTTGAGAACATTGGTCACATGCTTTAACTACGGCAGAAACTATTAATCATATTTATCATATTTTTAATTATTAAAAGTACTGTCACATGTGACATTTTCCACACTAATGTTTCCAATATAATACAATACAGTCATTAAACAGACACATTTTTGACACATTACAGTCTGCAGTTAGGGTTGAGGTTTATATTAATTACAATGTGGGAAATAAACTGCAATGGACTCTGAAAACAAAATGTGTAAGTGTATCCTTTTTATGTACCAAAGGGGGGCCCAGCAGAAAAGGTTTGGGATTAATTTGCAAGCCACTGTAAAACACAGTGCAGTGAGTCTTGTGTTTTACAGTGGCTTGCAAATTCTTTTTTGCATATTATTGCAGATGTTTATCAGTGGTAAACATCTGTTTGATTTGTGGAATGTGTCTCCTGCATGTCTTCATAAGCTGCATGTCTGCAGCTGTATTTTATCACTACCGTTTATCACTCAGATTTCCAGATTTGCCTTTAATGGATGAGTTTGTCCCTGAATTTATCCCTGACCTCGCTGGTATGCTCCTTGGACTTCATGATGCTGTTCAGTGACCCATATTCTCAATAATCCGGCTGTGAAAATAGATTTCACTCATGTGGACTCTACTTGAATGTAACTTATTGAATACTGCGCTATTTTCAAAAACTTTGGCGTTGCAATCTGGCTAGTTCCTTGCAAGTAGAAAGATACATGCACATCCACTTGTGGCGGAGAGAGAAGAGAAGTTGGAGCTTTTCACTATAACCCAAACGCCAAGTGGATTCAGAATGATAAAAGGTAAGTGTTCTCTTATCACAACAAGATTAAGTAAAAGTAAAAAGAATTTCCAGTCATGTATAACACACCTACCGCATTGCACTGACGGTTTAATTTAAAAAGGACCTACCCAAATCCTTACTTATGTTGAAATGTAATTTTGGAGCTGGTGAATTCTGTTTAGCCGAGTGCACTCGGTGATGTATTACAATGGAGCTCCTTTTAATTGCTTTTCTCTGGTTTTCCTTGTCTTGGGTAGTGTTTGTCGTCCCCACTGAGAGGTAATAGCTGTCCTCACTCCACCCTCGTCTACTTTCACCCACGCATACTCCCACCAAACAACTCACCCAAGCATATGGCACATGCACACAGTGCCTGAGTAAACAAGCTACACCTCTCCAATCGCACGTGTGGAAATCTCAAAGGACGTTTTCTGTCGGGTCCTCTAGACTTCTACACATCCTTCAGCCCCAGCTTCAAATACACGTGCCGCTCATATGATTCAGCAGGTTTGGGAGTTGGGCTTTGAGTTAAATTGAGTAATTAGGAGAGTGAGAGACATCTTTGAAAACACTTTAAATTACTTTGCAAAATAAATGTTGACCAATCTGACAATCTGAGAATAAGATATATGTTTTCTGATGTGTACCATTGCATCGCTCTACGCTTGCATGTGATCGATAAATGTACTTTGGCTGTAAGAGGATCTGACCGCACAAAAAGTTTCTCTGCAGCAACAAACTCACATTGTGTTTTGGTTCAATGTGAATGTGTTGCACCAATCGACCTTAGGTGGTGCCCTATACCACTGATTCTTTGGCGTACCTGCCCTCTCTCCTCTCAAACATAAAGGAGCATAATGGCGGAGCGTGGATCGCAGTCCTGCACCGAGTATCACCTGAGCCTTTTACAGTATTTATTTGATGGGGGTGTTTTGCCACTGTTGAATAATTCAAGCCCAGCTCAACCTGCTGAGGAGGCTCAGGTCTTTTGGAGTTCAGTTGCCACTCCTGAAGACCTTCTCTGATTCTGGTGGAGCAACAGCATCACAGAGAGGGACAGAAAGAAGCTGGACAAGGTCATCAGGAAGTCCAGCTCTGTCCTGGGCAGCTAAAAAACATAGCAGCTACTTATATTGTATATTTTGTATGCCCCCTGTGTCTCTCATGAAGCTTAAGCGCAAATTCAGACTGAGAAGACCACAGCTGCAGCTCTCACCCCATCCACACTTCCTACTAACCAGCCCTTCCGGAAGCTCTTAACACCCAGCGCCCCCTCGAGCTCCTGCTCCTGCCCTGGCTCCTGCGATAGCTCTTGCCCTGGCTCCTGCCCTGGCTCGTGTTCTGCCTACGCCCCATTCACACCATGCTTCTAGCCACCACCAGTGCTTGACCCCGGGGGATCTCAGATCATCTTCAGCAGCAAATGATCTCCCTTCTACAAGTGTCACTGCTGGGGTCAATGCGCCAAACAAATAAATCTTTTTAATGCATTAATGTTTCTGTCTTGGTCTCTTCAGATTTACTACTGGCCTAAATGTGCGCTGCAACCTTAAAATTTCCCCACTGCTGGACGAATAAAGGATCACTTATCTTATCTTGTCTGTTATGTGATCAATCTGTGCCTAAACTCGGTTTTGGCAATAGAACAACGTGAACGGGAACAGACCAGTGCAGCTCCTAAAAATTCTGCTACAATATTTCAGACCTTTGCAGGTGCGGTGCAAGAGGCTTGTGTAATAACAAGGTCGTACATGTTTTTATGATACGAGTCTTGGGAAGAGTTATAGTTTGTCCCTTCTTAAGACTTTCCTTGCAGACCTGACAGCTGCAAAAATAAGCTTTCTCCCTGATGGAAGCCCCCTCAATGTCTCATCAGCAGTGGGTCATGGCATTAATATTCTAATATCCACAGCATGGATGGATACATAATGGATGCTATAGGAATCACTATCAATCTCCTTATTTTTAATGTTTTCATGTAAAGTTTGTTATGAAAAAGGCTTCAGTCCACCTTGGAATATGAGAGTTGTTTCCTTGTTATATCCCTGGTTGAAGGCACAAGTCCTTAACATTCTGCCTACTCACAAGCCCACACTGTTTAAATCGCAGATCTTTGCAGTTCTATGTGCAAAGTCACAGTACTATTTCGAGCCTTGACAACATCCAAAAGAGAGCAGCACTTTCCCCATATGTGCTTTTTGCTGTGTCTTCTGGGAGCGAGGCTGGGGAATGGTTAATTAATGAATGTGACTGGAGCTTAGAGAGACTTCTGTTTTTGTCAAAGACTCACATATGAGAAAGAGATTAAAGGTTCCCTCTGCTCCGGCTGCCTTTAACCTAAAGTGTTTAAAATGCATAGTTCTGCCAGGTGCACATCAGGGCCAGGATTCAAGGCAGAGCTGCACTAATGAGCTCACCTTCGGGTGCCACCGAAGAGCAGCCTGGGACTCAGCAGACAATGTACGACAGGGAATGTATTCTTGGATTGGAAAGATAGACAAAATGTACCTGGGCAAAGATGGTTGTATTGGTAGAATCTATGCATACAGTATATATTTAAATCACATAATAGTTCTGCCGTGTAGTGGCATCCAGATTCTTGTAGTGCAGGTCACAAAACAGCAATTTGTGACATTTTTGGGAAATTGTTGAGTGCAAAAGAAAGTGCCCATGAATTAAGTTAAATAAGTTTGGTCCATGCAAAAATCTCTTGTTTAGCCTGTTTGCTGTAATGGACCACCTCTCCTACCGGTTGCCCTGCATTAAAACATGGGTGACATGTAGAGAACTCATTTCCCTATGGAGACAATTAAGTATACCTTAACCAATCAGATGCTGAAATTATTAAAATAACATAGACTGTTGATTAAGCCACATAATTATATGGCATACAGTAAAAGCCTGTGATATATGAGCTGAACTTGATGATATGAAGCAGAGACTGGCATTTATTACTAGCACTAATTATTATTGTTTATAGATCAAGGTTAGCCCTCATGCAACAGCTGAGGCCACTGGTGATAGAGCCATTGTTGCATTTTGTATTATTATCAATAAAATGAAATGAACCTGTTTTAAAACCAGAACAAAAAAGTGAACTGTTGCCCTTTACTCCATGAATCAGCATATCCATGGAACAGTGATCTTTGGAAAACTAAATAAGCCCATGACACTACTGTTTTATAATGGATTTTACTTTTAAATTGAGCTTCCCACACGCTGAAATGTATTCCACTATATTTAGGCTCTGCAGTCTGTGAACTGCTTTTCTCCAGGCATCAAGCGGAGGACTGGAATGGATTAGAAGATTTTTTTTGTGCTATACACCGCAGGTCTTGCTCTATACCATCCAAAAAGCCCAGTGGACCTCATTATCACTGCCCAGAAAGCAAGTTTACTATCTGACTATCAACACTTGTTCTATTAGTGCTCTCAGACGGGTTTTAACACGGGCTTTCTTTCGTACACTTTAGTGGAATGGAGCCCTTTAAAACGCTTATTAATGTTGAAAAGTGTATACAGACCATTCTTAGAACTAAAAGTCAGACGTATTAATTACATGTGTTTATCTGTGGAGCGCAGCAGTGCAATATACAAAGGGAATTTACAGAGCCTTTTGGGAGATTACTGATTTATAAATAAAAAATGGGATTGTCGCCATTATGTAAATTGGAACTTCCCGTTGGATAAAAGCACCTGGAGCCGCTTCTAAAAGAAAACATTTTCAATCTGTTTTTGAGCTATTCCCTATTTGGTTCAGCTGAGGCTTTTCCCACTTGCACCAATCCACTTGCTAGATTTAAATTGACTTTTTTTTTTTTTTTTTTTTTTTTACGCTGTTACATATAAGGGGGAAAAGCAAAAAAAGGCTTGAATCAGTGAGCAGCAAAAACTATGGTAGTTTGTAGCATTCTGTACCAAAGCTAAACGTTGCTATGTACAGTACGTAAAAGCTGCTCATTGCTCCATAATCATAAGTGCAGCTTCAAACAGAACAGTGCTGCCTGTGGTGCTGGGATGTTTACACCAATCACTGCACTTGGCCACAGAGAGTGTTATTTGTGCCTCTCGCTGTAATGCATCGTCACTGTTTTCTACTCTTAGCCCATGTCTAATGAGGGAGACATTTGTTCTTGCTATGCTTAAACATATTTGCATTAGTCTTGTGTTGTATTGTGCTCATTTGTAAAACCCAAAGAACACGTTTAGGCTTTTGAAAAAGGATGCACAGCTCTAGGAAGACAGTTCTTTCATTAACCATGGTGTAAATGATAATGATGATAATAAAAACATTCAAAGATAAAAAAAAAAAACAGCTGTATTTGCTTTTCTGACAATGTTCGAATCCAAGTTCAAAGAGTTCTGTTTAGCTGTGCGTGCAACTGAAGGATTTTATTTTCACTCTTTTTAATGTACTGTGATTATTCATGCACTTTGAGTTGCCTTGTGTATTAACTGTTCTTTACAAATAAACTTGGCTTGCCATGATGATATCTTTACAATGCCACTGTAGGTAGGTTTTGTCATTTGCAGCCACCCACGTGTATGAATTTTTGGACAACAAAGACAGCAATAAGCAAAAGGTTATTCTTAATAGACTGAATGAAGTGGAACTATAGTGTTACTCTGAGGAAATATAATTTACAGATTTGAATGACCTTGCTAATACAGTTTTTCTCAGTCGCTTTGATGCATTTCTCACATCACTATAAACATTTGCACAACTGTTAGTGCATTTCTCAGAACAATTAGTACAAACTGCAAAACCTTGTGGATAACCTGCAATAGTGCGTCAATGGCTCAAAATGAAAAGTTGATTCCTCAAAAGCAAGTACTGATGGTAATGGAACAATCTGTGTCATCAAACCTGACACCAGTGTTTATGAACCACACAGTCAACTGGCTTTGTCATGTTTTCATTGTGACATGATACTCTCTGTGTTTTTTTCCAATCTTGGTGAAATTACTTGAAAATGCTCAAGACGGCACTATACACAACCTGTACAGCCATTTGAAAACTACAGTAAAGTTACACATTACTGTTTCGTGAGGTGACTGAGTACTTGACACACTCAAGCAATAACATAAATTGTGAATTGGGTAGCAGCTGATACCCTCCCGACCCATAAATGGATTAAGGGGAAGAAAACAGATGGATGGATGGATAGGGAATAACTATTCAGCATTCATAAGTATGCTTCATTTTGACTGAACTAATAGTTGTGAGAACTTTCATCCTGATCTAAGAAAAGCACCAAAGCGACTGGGTAAAACACTGTAGAGTTGCTTACACATTTTCAAAATGGATTTATATGATTATTTTATGTGAATGAAACTCACTATAGTCTACATTATTTGTGAATAGCTGTCGTCCAAACCACTATTTTGGTTTTAAAACGCTTTCTGATATGCGTATAACTTGTGCCTATTCATTAATCCGATGCAAATCTATTCGGGACAGGGTGAAAAGAAGATAACTGCTGCAGAGCAAGAGGAGGAAAGTAGGCGGGGCTTAGATGCTGACGGACACCTCAGATATGAGAGAGAGAGGGGCACGGGGAGGGGCACTGCATCTGTTCACTGCAGAGGCTCATTGATAAAACAGATCTGCTGCTGCTGATGCTGATGTTGTTATCCTGGGACCATCACCAACATGCCCCTTCTGTTTACAGATTCAAACAGGCTAAATAATGTCATCTCTCAACTTTAAAATACTCTTGCTTTAAACGGAACGTCACTTGTTCTGCTTTGTTCTTATGGGACAGCATCACAGTGTTCTCCAAAATCTGGGACACCTGTAACTAAAGGGACTTATCGTCGCATCGCCTGCTTTAGAGTGAGCCAGCATCAGCAGCACAGACACACAAAGGTAGGAGGAACGCGTGAAACATGATTTTGTGTGAATGCATTTACAGGTTAGTCGAGACCCTGTCACGGCTCACGTTGTGTCCGTGATGCAATGTGGCACGCTGAGCTGTAAACAGAGGGGTTAGCTCATGACAGCAACAGGAGCTGGCTGTGGGCTCCACAGGCGACAGTCCTAATCTGCATCTTATGTCTTCTCACTTCACAGAGGCTTCTGGAAACAACAATACTATCTATCTATTAATTCATCTATATTTTAATTTATCAATCTATGTTTTGTTATTTTATCATTATAAAGATACAGATTGTATTCATCGAGTTATTCATAATATTCATTTATTTTGTTTTGTTTGAACCTCATACTGTCTTGTAACCTATGATGCAACACTGAAATCTCCCTATCTATCCATCTATCTATCTATCTATCAAAGCAGAACATTCAAAATCTAACACAAAAATACAGTAGTTGAGAGTCATTAAAGTTGCAAAACGTATTTTAACAATTTGTTTGTCCCAGCAAAAAGGGTCTTTTTTTTTTTTATCTTTTGCTTACTTGTAAAAAACAGCCCTGTGAGTCACTTTCTTTGAACTGAAAGCTGATTGGCTGAGAAAGGGTGGTCCTTTCGTTTTCACTTTTCTTCCTGTAAAAGCTGATCCAGAAATGTGAGGACAAAAATACGTGCATTTCTAAACCAGTTTCAGAACCTGTTTAAAGAACTCTGAAAACTATAGATGGAATTTACTTTTTTAAAGTAAAGTACCTCAGCTTTAAGGAGTCAACAAGACGGACATGAAAAAGATTACCAAGCCAAATTGATTTACTGTAATTTGGTCGAACAAGACACAGTAAAAAAATGTGGTTTGTAAGAAAACCCAAACTTCCGGTCAGTCTAATTTAGATATAACATAAGACAACATGCACATTACACAATCTATCAGACAGTTGTCATCATGATTACATCTAGACCTCCCTCACGTTTTTGGTCCATCTGCTTCTCCCTCCCTGCCTCTCTCTCCTCACCACACTTGCCCTGTATAAGCAGCATCTCTCTCCTCCCCTCTTGTCCCACGCTCTGCTCCTCTTCTAACTCGCAGCAGTTTCTGATGCTCTGGCGGTCTCTGTTTCTGCCCTGCGCCCCTCACCAGCCTGCTGTCCGTCACCCTGGGATCTACGGAGACAAGCGGAGTGCCCCTGTCGGCCATGAAGCTGATGAACGGGGTTGGGGGAGGCAGCGCGGGAGGGTCCGGAGGAGGGGAGAAGACGGCTTTCTCCTTCAAGAAGTGCTCGGCTTTTCAGTTCGTCAAGAGGAAGGTGAGTTCAAACGCCGTTGCACAAAGAGCCCGCAGACTTTTTATTATAGGACAGGATGTGACAGTTAGTGCCAAAGATGATGTCATTGTACTGTGCCGTAAGCTTTTGTGTTATTGCCTTAACGCTCTCTCCGCAGTTACATTTACTGTCCCATAAGAAATAAGGCTCACAAGTAATAATCAATATCAACAAGAGTTATCGTATCTGCCACAGTAAGTGTCTCTCAGACTAATTTGTGTTGCACTGTTTAATTGCATAAAACAGCGTTGGGACTTAACTATGGAGCAATTATACTCTGTCGTATAGAAAAGCTTTGTAACTAACTTCACCTTTTTAGAATGGCCCTTGAGACTTGGACTGGGTTGGATTATATGGGGTAGAGACTCAACTAATTGTTTCTGGGTGTTTTAATGTTTTGACATAAAACATGTTTAGTGCACCTGCATGCAGGGGTGCAGGGTGAGGCACATTCTCAACATCCCCCAAACGCTTCTGGAAATTACTCTAACCGAATCCTAGATAAAGTTTATGCAGTTATTTAAACAACGCCAGGCCTATTCACTGGATTACTTTCATCTTTAATGATTTGAATTCTACTGGAATAGTAGAAAGTGTAGAGCAATCCTTATATTGAACGTGTGGTGCTCTGTATTCTCTCTGGTGATCTGATATCGGTCTGAAATATTGACATTGATGTACAGTATACACAGTACATATGCAGAGTGTTCTTGATCCGGCTAACTGTTGTTCCCCATTGAAGAAAAAAAAAAAAATCTGTCATAGTTACACAATTAAAAGTTACTCTAGACTTTTTATCTGCATTTACAGGAGATATTGATAGAGTAACACATCAAGAAACAGTTTTTAATATTCAAAAATGTGTAATTTAATAATTTTGTTCTTCGGATTTGGATGTTCTACAAATATCTATGAAATCTGGATGTCAGTTGTTTAAGAATATTGTGCTTGTTCGGGTTCAGACTGGATCATCTACCACGTCTCACTATCCCACATCTTCACGTCATCATCCCTTTGCTACACACCTGTGCAATCCAGCTCATCAGTACCTGCTTCCAGCTCATGCAGCAACCTGCCTCCTCCTCATCACCTCAACAGCTATACATTACTCCTCATTTCCATTAGCTCATCTCATCTTTCACCACCACCAGAGTTTAAAACAAATTATATTTAATTTTCATAATCTATATTCAATTTCCACCTGGATACATCATGTTACAATTTTGCCACGATTTCAGTAAAAGCACATGACCACATACGCTAACCTAACTTAACATCAAAATACATAATCTTGAAGTATGTAGTAAAACGTAAAACAAAATCAAAACATAGACCTGTGGTGAGGGTCCGGATGGGCATTTATTATGTGTGTTTTAGAGTTCTGTTTCTCTTTTTTTGCAAAAATATCATATCATCCGCAAAACATTACCTTAATTATCTCCGTTTCAGTATTTTCCAAGAGATAAAAAGATTAACAGAGGGAGGCAGGAAGGAAACTGGTCTTTTTATGGGTAATCCATCTATTTACTAATGAGGGGATGTAGCTGTGTACATGTTTTTTTTTCTTTTTCTCATCATCGTTAAGACTTAAAGATTCACAAAGAACAAGTTAAATATGATGTGTGATTGTGTTGATTGATAGAAGTGTATTTAACCCAGGTTTTGTCCAAATACTTTCTGGCTGTGAGTCAATAAATCAATCGTTATTTTTATTTCAAACTTGTGTTTACGTCTAAGACAAAGCAACAGAAATACACAGTTTGAGAAGGAGTTGGCAGAATCATACTCTTACTTGGCTCTGACCCTTCACGCATACAACAAAGAACACAGCACACACAGGCCCAAACCCTCTCTGACCCTACATACCCTTCTCAGCCTCAATTCCAAGTGAGAATTTGCACGTCTCTTAAAACTGAATTTTCATGACTCTCAAATTTCAAACTTCTCAGATTGACAAAAATGTTCTCAAATCTAGATACATTTTACCTCATTCACTCAGACGTATACAAACAACTATTTATCACTTGCACTAGAATATACAGCATTTTATACTTCATCATTGCTGAAGTTGGAGATTTTAGATTTTTTCCTTTTTATTCTACTTCTTTTATGCCAGAGATTTTTTTTTTTTTTTTTTTTTTTTTTTTTATGTGAGAGCTATTATTCATGTATCTCCTCATTCCTACTGTTCTGTAACTTGTAAATAGAATCTCTTAATATTAATTCACACATTTTCTACTTACTTATTATCATATTTTGCAATGTTTCAAATGGATTTAGACACAGTTTGTTTTTATTTTTTTGGAGATGGTAAAAGCAGGTGCAGTGTGCAGTGTTGTGACTTGGAGCAAGCAGATTGTGTTGTGTTTACACCCCTCCCAAACACTCGCATGCTCCCACAGGCCCATGCTGCTCTCTCCTCTCCCACACGCTACATGTGACCCCAGCGCTGCCACATAAAACCCACTTTACTTCAAACATGCCTTTTCTTCTCATGATTTTTCCCCAAAACTCATACCCTCACTAATTGAAGTACCGTTGGTGTTTTTCGACCTTGGTGACAAAGATAGTAATGAATGAATTATATCTATTTGATGATTTTTCAACTTCAAAGCAAAGCCATTTGTTACATCTGTTGTGATGTCTCTGCCGCGAGTTTGTTCTCAATGAGATGTATGGCTTTGGTCCACCGTGCTATACCATTAAATGTAGCAGAAACTAGCATCAGTCCATTGAAAGAAATCAGACTGGTTGAAGAGCCATTTGATAAAAGATTATTCTTTTAAGATAAGAGAGCCAGTTTTGTCCCACAGTTGAGATATCGCCACACACAGTAAGGCAAGGCAACTTTATTTGTATAGCACGATAGCACAAGATAGAAAAGATCACCCGAGGCATTAAAATGATAAATAATCGCAGTATAAAAGAAGTATTAAAAAGAGATTATCTCACAATATGACGACGCAGCAATTATCGGTATATTGGTCAAAAATATACCTACGATAATATTTTTCTTATATTTATGGCATAAATTAAGTGAAAAATACACTTTATTTCAAGATAAATAGATTAAGGATCATGTGTAACATTAAAGGAAACAAGCAAAAATGCCTTTTAACCTGCACATTTTAGTAAAAATCTTACTTAATCTGTCTCACATCCAATAAAATCAATATGAACATTCTACAGAAATTGTCAAATGTGTAATGTAGCCATATATTAAGTATCAATACTTATATTTATTCAAATAAAGCTTTTTTTTTCCTTTTTTTAAGTCGATACTTAGCAAAAGCATAATGAAAATCGATTGCGTGAGAAAGTATCATGATACATAACCATATCGATACATTATCACACTCCTACTCAATTGTATACACAGCTAAACAGAACTGCTTTTACCCTGGATTTGAACATCGTCAGAGAAGAGGCCTGTCTTACATTTTCAGGAAGACTATTCCAGATTTTAGATGCATGAATCTGAAATGCTGCCTCGCCAGGTTCAGTTCTGACTCCAGCAGGAGGCCAGAACCGGTGCTTTTCAGAATGAAGGTTAAATATTCAGTATGTCACGCCAATTTCTCACAGGTGCACAGACTAGTTAGCACTAGAGTTCCAGCTTTTTCAAGTTCGATCCCACTACTTTCACTTTAATACCTACCAACACCCAACATGAACCAGCGAAGAAACTGCAGCTGTCACAAAATTATGCAAAGACTGCGCTTGTCATTGCCAGTTTTAAAGTTTTATTTTTGTATTAAAGTATTATGATGATTATGAGTCATGTTATGTTATTTTTTTTTCGATTTGCAAATTCTGAAGGTTACTTGTGATAGTGTGACCAAAAGGAGGAATACGAATCTTTTACGATACTTTTTTGTGCAATCATGTCAAGACTTGTCATTACAACAGTATTCAGAGGTCAGTACTTTTCAACTTGATGTTTTGGTTATCTGAGGGTACTGTATTGGTGCATCCCTAATAAGCAACATTATTACATTACAACACTTTTTTCAAACTATCTTTGTGAAAAAACAACAGGGTCGAACCAGTACTCTCTAAACATGAAACCAATATTCAACTGGACTTTTGAAGAGGTTTTATTATTATGCAATAAAGTTCCCAAGTTCATTCCCATTTGGTGGTGACACTCTTGCCTCCTCAGCGAAGATGGAGACATTAGCATCCGCTGTGCTTAAACGGCAAAAGCCACACTGACTTGGCACCGATATTACGGGGTCTTCTGTGCATCAGCAAACTGCCCCAAATGAATGAGGACGGCTGCCACCACACTCTGGGCAGTTTATTTGTTTCTCAGTAAGTCTAATCACATAATGAGAGTGTGTACACAGAGCTGAAGGCAGACAGACGAGGAGCTGAATACAAAATCAATGTATGAGTAAGACGCAATTTTGTGTTGCTGTGTTTATTACTTGGAACAGGCTGACCTTTGAGATAATTAGGAGACATAAAATGCTGATCTACGGAGAGACATTTTATTATTGCCTCTTTGAAACTGTTTATGACAAAAGGCAAAACAGTGCACCTTTGACAGTTGAGCTGTTATAGGCTTAATCTTATTGGTTGACGTGTGTGGGGCGGAGCCTTACTGCTCTTATGCAGGTGTGTTAGAGACACTGATGAGTATTTTGTGGATCAAAACAGTTTTTCAACAGTGTGTCTTGTGACAAGTGAACTTTCATAAAAACAAATCTTTTATGAACAATACTTGTACATTTGGGAGTCTATTATAAATGTTTTCACCCGACACAGGCCCTACCCCGACAGCTAAAGTGGCAAACCGGGGATTGGAAACAGCTACAATAGTTGTGCGTGAATGTGTATGTGAACTGAATGATTAGCAACTAAAATGGTACTAAAACTTACACATAATAAAATAACTTGCTTCTTGAAAATGTGTCTATGGTCTATTGTGTTGTGAAGATCAGTTATTTCAAAGACAATATCTTTTGTCACACAAACATGTAATATGTTTTGTGTTCTGTAGCCCAACTCTGACTTACTGTAAATAAGCATGCCCCAGCGTGTCCAGTGCTGTTTGAAATTCTGTATTGATTTGCTTGTGAAAGCTTTCAGAATGGATGATAATGGGCCTCTATCTCTCTATCTGTCCATCTTTCTCTGAAAGCCACTGTTACAGCATCACTTGTAGCATGTCCAGACTACATTTAATCCATGGCTTCATTTCCAAACTGCCAGTCTTGCGTGATCCTTAGTTTAAATTCCATCTGGTGTGTTGGTTTTGCAGGCAGCGTTGGTTCATGTTTTGACTTGCAGTTTGGCCTCTCCTCTCTCCTGAGTGAGTGTGGCCGTGGTCAGACAGGCGCTGTTTACGGAGCATTGGCTCACAGCAGGACTCGGCGCATGAGGCGGCTCCTTATGGCTCTCATTTTCCACTGGCCACTGTGTTGTTATGGATCAGGGGGTTGCTCTGGGCACTGTCTCTGCTTCTGGAAGGTGTAAAGGCAAAATGTTATGAGTTCTATAGTGCCACTGCCAACACAAAAACATACTTTGTAGATAACTTATTGAATTCTAGTTTTTCTTAATTTCATTTTTAAATAATTCTGTAAATTTGTTTAGTTTAATTTTGACCGTGTATATTATTTAAATGGGACAGTGTGTAACAATGAACAGCTACTACTGCAAACACACTGGAATTAGCTCAAGGCAAGTTTTCCTCCATTGTCCCATTGCATTCTATTGATGGTGGAGGAAACCTGAGCAGACACAAGGAGAACATGCAAACTCTACACTGAAAATAAATGTTCTTAATTGATTGCAAAGTTTCTTGTACCTATAGTTAGAAATGTATTCAAAACTGTGAAATAATCATAAGAACGCACACACACAAAAATACATATAACGAGAATAAGAGAGATTTGCCCCACATTGTTTCGGGAAACAATTCTTAAAATAGTTCCATTCCTTTTATGGCCGTCTAATCATCTTTTCAGGAAAAACTGCAGCATTCACAAGTCACAAATTTGAGGCAAAAAAAAAAACCAATGACAAAATGATGAGTACATTGTGAAATACATTGAACTCACTCAGGATCTGCAACATCGTCGCAAATATGAAAAGTATTTTGTCAATGTGTCATTCGTAGACAGTGTGCAGTCGAGCTACATTTTTTAAATCGTCGTCACTTACCTTCGTTCACCTGACCACCCCACCAACATTCATTTGTCATGTTTAACATACCTTTCTCATTCCTCACCATGTGACAGGTGCGTGATGTTTTAGAGCTCCCTCCTGATTTCATATGTTCAAAGTGAGACATAATGGGATCAAACCCGGCTCTTTGAAGTGCTCTTCTGCGTCGCTGAGTACGTTCCACTTGAATTAAGTCATAATCAGGTTAATGAGGCAAACCCTGTTCAAAGGGGCAGCTGCCAGAGATGACAGCGACAGAATTCACATTTAAAGTCATATTCCCCACGTCGATGATATAACTGTGATATTAAAGATCTATTGGGTTGTTTTCGACACAGGTGCGGAGATGGATGCGGAACCCCAAAGTGAGCGTGGAGAAGGCCCAGGGGAAAGGCCTACTGTACCCCTGTTCTCGGTGCCCTCTGTCGGATGAGCTCTGGTACACCCACTTCCCCTCTCCCTATGGGTGCTGCCACAACTCTGGTCTGCAGGGGGGCCTCTACTATCACCCCGATCCCACCTGCCACTGCACCACCAGCTCCCAGACCTGCTCGGACAAGAGCAAGGGCTGCAAGGTAAAGACAACAAGGGTCTACTATATTCATAAAATAAGATTGTCCCACAGTGGGGAAATGTCTATGTTGCAGCGAATATAAGAGGGAGCACACAAAAGTAGTTGTCTAGCTCGCCATTTGTTGAGTGATGGGTGAAGAAAGGATCAGTTCATCGGGTCAGTTGGTCGGTCCATCCCATTACAAAAACCTGACCCGTTAAATATGGGTTACACTATGTTTCTTAGCTAGATGTAAATGCTTCAACTGTCAATCTTTTGCTCCATATATATATATATATATATATGTACAGTATATATAGTGCAAAGTTATATACATAAAGGGCAGAATAAATAGATAAGAAGTTACAGTATTGCACATTGCACATGATTACAGCATTGGCTATTTACGGATGAATGACATCTACAGGCTTAGCAGTTCTCTTTGTACAGTCTGACAGCAGCAGGAAGGAAAGACCTACGAAGAAATAAGGGCCGTCCTTAAAGTAACAATTTGTAAGATTTGTATGTAAAGTTATCATTAAATGGCCCTAATCTGTCAGAAGTCATTCATAAATCATGCTCTTTTCGAATACTTCTTTAACTAATAAAAGTAGTTCAGCCGAGATTTCAAAATTTGTTTTACAGCCCCTAAATCTTGTTGTAGTTTTAGTTTCGATGTCCTGCCCTCCACCGTTTCACCAATCAGAAAGTTCATGATCCGGGTTACCAGAACTCAACACGGCAAGCTAATATTGATGGTAAAGTAACATGTGGCCGCAGAAATAAGGACGTGTTTTGATTCTCAAATCATTAACGACAAAATAAGGAATAAAACAAGGATTTATATCGAAGCCTTTGTGAAAAAAATTGTTGGTTTTAGATTTTTTGTTGACAAAAGTCTATTCAGATAAGATAGTCCCAGCTGGATTTGTCTGCATATCTGGCAACCTTAGTCAGGGGGAGTGGGAGAGGTTGCAGTACCACTTTTGGCCAGATTTTTACATACTGCTCCTTTAAAGCAGGTTAACTCAGAAAGAGTTCTGCAAAAGAAAAAAAAAATCTTGTGACCAAATCAGACCACAGCATAATATATTATTCTAATTAGAAAATCTTTTAGTTTTGGCATATTTGTTAGAAATAACCAGACTGAGAGCTGATTGGCTGAATTGGATTTCACTTATGCTTGGAACAATCTGATCTAAAAATTACTTAGATTTTATTACATAATTCAACTTTTTGTGGTTAGGTAAGGAGTGTTTTAGGCCTTTAGCCACTTTAGTCCTCATATTTAAGTAGGAAAAAAGTCAATGAAGTGGTAATCATCTTGGCATTTCAACATTACATTATTGATAGCTGTGGCCCAATGGGATCCGATGGGATAAACTGGACGATAAAAATCCTTGTCATTTCTTTGCTTTTTACATTACATCAACACATGTCATGCTTAAAGAAACCATGCATACGTCCAAACAAAAAACAGTTGCATATACAGTTTATTCTCATATGTTTAAAACCTGCTGTGCATAGGAGTAAAGAATAGGCTGTGAGGTCTTGAATGGCCCTCGAATATCTTTGCTGATCTCCCCCAACTTGTTATGTAACGGCTGTAATCAGTACCTTGGCGCTGCATCTCAATCGCTGTTCTGATCATCAGCCTGTGCGCGGGGAGCCACAAAACACAACACATGCTGAGTCACCCCCTGCACTGCACAACACTACTACTGCTCCTGAATATTGGCTACGACTAATACAACTGTTACTATGTCCACAACAATGTACACTACAACTAACAAAAACAAAAAAATGAGGAAGTAGTTGCTTGAATTGTGAGGTTTTTGTATTGATTTGAGTTCAATGGGACCAAGCCATTTAGTCTTATTTTAAGAACTGTTGCATTTATTTTGTCATTCCAAGGGAGACATTTCTTGTACATTCCGGCAAAACGTGGTACTGCAACCATGGTCACTATTTTTTTGTCCTCTCCCACTCTCCCTGACTCAGGTTTCCAGATATGCAGACAAGAACAGACAAGAGTTTTGGCTGTAAATACAAAATTAGACATTTTAATATTCCGGCCGAGCTACTGTTATCAGTTAAAGAAGTGTTTGAAAAGAGCATGAATGATTAATCCCTTTTGACATATTAGAACCATTTAATAATAACTTGATATGAAAATCTTACATATTGCTATTTTAAGGCGGTCAGATGGGCTCAAACTAAGATACATTTTGCCAAATTTGAGCATTTTATACCTTATTTTTTAATCACTAAATCATTAAAAAGTGGAATTAGAAAATGATAGCTTGTTGGAGGTCTGTCCAAGTGATAGTGACAGACAGGATACACCAGTGTAGATCAGATCATAGTTTGCCACAGGAGATCCTTGCATTGTTTCCACTGGTCCCATTTAAACACACAATATAAAAAACCTGTCCCTAGATTTGCTCTTGCCTGTATCGTCAGGTATAGGCGACTTTTTCTTGTTATCTGCTCATGTATAACTCCATTCTTAAGTGTTTTCAAGAGCTTCTTTACAACAACTTCTCCATAAGGTTTAATTTCACTCCTGTGTCCTTCTGGGCCATTTCTTTCTTGCTCCAAGTCTCCATCAATTCCACCTCGTGCCCTCGCAGCCAATAGATCTGTCACCATCGTCTCAGTAGAGATAACCACCGTGTGTGTGTGTGCGTGTGCGCGTGTGTGTGTGCATGCCTGTGTGAGCAGAATTAATGGCTATTGGAAAGAGGTGTAGGCAGAAGAGGAGGGGGCTTGGCTGTGACTCAGAGCTTCTCCCTACAGACCAGTGTAATAATTGCATGTGTGTACACAGAGACCCCAAAACTAATGCAGGTCAATTACTGACAGTGTGCAACGTTCGAGCCATTGACTGTAAATAGTTCGACTGTCAACCTAAATAAGGACAAGGCATCCCGTTTGCGCTGCGTTGCCAGATAACACATAGACGTCATGTTCTTTTCACTCTCAGCCATGCTCACGTACAGTTTGTATAAACAGTTTTTACAAGTGAAGTCCTTAAAAATGTTACAGCAATAAGAGAAATAATAAGGGAAACAAAATGTACTTTGAATTGATTTTATTCGTACAATTCAGATCATTTGTTTCATTCAGGAAATGTATTTGAAAGTGTACTTTGTAACTTTTCTACTGGGGCTACCATTATGTTTATACTGTGGGAATAAACTTGATCAGCAACAATAATCTTAGATACATTATTGTAAAGCAAAGTAGATTACGCTGTATCCAATCCTTATCTGGTGACTCTCTAAGGGTCTCTAACTCAGCATCACTTCAAGCAAATTCAGCTTTATTTGTGAAAGCACAAAACCCTGTGCGCTGTGGTCCACTTGTAACATCAACAAATCTGAGACTGAGAACTGTCTAATTTTCTTCTGAAGTGATGACACGCCCCAAATCCATTTAACTCAATTTTGTCTTTTTGATTTCAAGGCCCACATGCTAGGTAAAGTGAAGGTCAGTCACTCTTGTGAAATTGGAGAGAAAGGAAGTTTTTTGAATGCAAGTGCTACTTAGACCCGCCCCCACAGGGTCCTGATTGGACGCAATGAGTTCACATTTTTGATAGACAGCTAAGGGCCCTCACCATTGGTCTAATGGTGCTTTCAGACCGCCAACACTGAAACGCACATTCTCTAGTTTTCAGACGCAGGGATCTTCAGACCAGAAGTCCTGGCGCGCACCGGAAGTGGCGGAAGTAGCCAGCGGGCTCTGATGCTAACAGAGTTTAGCTAGCGGCTTCTTGTTTACAGATCTTCTCCAATAATGCAGCTTTGCAGCGTGTCTGTGTTCAGAGACCTTCCACGGACTTTATATAACAGTAGTTTGTGTTCACGGAGGTGCGCAATAAGTTTATTTTATTATTAAACAGTTCTTCCGCATCAGCGAACACGCTCGAAGCAGTTGCATAAAGTCACGGGAGCATGAAAACTCACATGCTAACAAGCACAATGTCCCGCATTGTCATCCCTGGTTTAGTCCTTATGTAGCTCCTGTTTTGGCTGTTTACGAGAATTTTCAGTCCGCTCGCTCAAACCGCTAATGTCCGTGACCACTTTGCGGCTCTCTGATTTGTTGCTGCACGAGCGTCCCGAGGAAAGGTTGAACAAAATTCATCTCCTGCATGCGTTGATTTTCCGCTCCTGCTCCTCCCCTTCGACTTTCCCGCGCAGTCCGTACGTCTTTACTGAGCAGTCCGTGTGTGCATTCCAAGACGCTCGTGCGTTTTGACGCTCGAACGCGCGTCACCATTGACTTTGCATTGAAAGCCGACGCAACGCATGATCCAGTCTGAACGCGGCATAACTATTCCAGCAGTGCTTATGTGTGATGCTTATTCCAATGGGAGGAACTGTTTTGAATAAATGTATTATGTAAAATATTTTATATCATATGGTAAAAAATACGTATTCTTTTCAAAATGAACAGTAAAATCACCTTTAAGAAACTGTTCCTTTTGTAAAATGTTCTTATACGGTCCTCTGCGCCTCAGTTTGGTCGTCTTGTTGTTTTCAAGGTTATAACGGACCTTTTTTGTTTTGAATTGTCATTTTCATTCATCATTCATTGTCATGCCTTAAAACAAGCAATTAAAAACAATGATATAAAAAAAGATAATCCAAACCCACAAATGAAGCTTTTTCTGCGGCTTATTTCTTCCCCTTATTTTCTGCTGTTTTTATAGATATGTACATCGGCTTCATTATTTTTTGCAACAGAAAGCCTATACTTCACAGCATTACTTTTGAACACACCTTTCAAAACTTCAGCCCATCAAAGCGAGCCGTGTCTGAGGCTTTCTCTCGCAAGATAATATTGCAGGAGGCAGGAGCTGTAAAGCGCTGGTCCCTTTTGGAGGCACAGAGTGGCACATGTGACAGAGAGAGACGGGGACAGCTCTAGGACAAGCATCACAGTCCAACATGCACCGTTTGATCCATTTGCTCTGAGCGAATGAGGTGTTTTGTTATTGCTGCAAGTGCCCAG